CTAAGATCAAATTCCCACAAATTGGACAACCGAGACAAAGATGAAGGGATACGACCGGTTATTTTGTTATTACTAAGATCAAATTCCCACAAATTATAAAGACTTCCTAAAATTTGAGGGATAGAACCATCCAAATTATTTGAACGAAGATTCAAAACTGACAAATTGGACAAGAGACCCAAAGATGGAGGGATTTGACCTGTTAAACTGTTTTCATAAAGATACAAACTCTGCAAATTGGACAAACAAGACAGAGATGAAGGAATAGGACCAGTTATTTTGTTATTACTAAGATCCAATTCCAACAGATTATATAGACTTCCTATATTTTGAGGGATAGAACCATCCAACTTATTTGAATCAAGATGCAAAGTTGACAAATTGGACAAATGAGACAAAGAGGAAGGGATTTGACCTGTTAATTTATTATAACCAAGATTCAGAAGTTCCAAATGACTTAGATTTCCTATGTTTGGTGGGATGGAGCCCTCAAAAGAATTTGTTCTAAGGTCCAAGATCCTCAAATTGGACAAGAGACTTAAAGATGATGGGATTGTGCCATTGATTTGATTCTCTGAAAGAAACAAGTATCTCAAATTTGTCAAGTGACCCAAAGTTGGAGGGAGCGGACCAACAAGTTCGCAGAGACTCATGTCGAGTTCAGTGAGATTCGTCAATTCCCCAAATTCTGGAGGGATGGAGTCACTAAATGAATTGACACTGAGATCTAGAAATGTCAAACTGGTTAATTGTCCAAGACGGGGTGGTATTAGACCCACAAACAGGTTCCAAGATAGATCCAGAGAAACCAAGTTCTTTAAATTTCCCATTTCTGAAGGTATCGATCCATTGATTTGATTGTTTGCAAGAGACAAAGAAACCAGATTGGTTAAATGACTGATGTTGGAAGAGATTGGACCATTGAGGGAGCAATCACTCATGTCTAAGGCTACAAGACTCTTCAAGTTCCATATTTCTGGAGGGATACTACAATTAAAAGTATTTGAGGCCAACTCCAAGTGGGAAAGATTGGTGGCAAGGCCTATAATTGGAGCAATGGATGCATTGAGGTTGTTCCAAGTCAAGTTCAAAGAAACAAGATTCTTCAAATCCCTAAATTTTGGGGACATGGAGTTTATATAATTGAAAGATACGTCAAGCGTCCGTAATTGAGTGAGATTTCCAAGTGAAGAAGGCAATGTACCTGTTAGATCGTTGTTGGACAGATTAAGGTGCTCGAGTCTTGTAAGATCGCCAATTTGAGGTGGGATGCTCCCATTGAGTCCTTGATGGCTAAGATTAAGGCGAACAAGATTGGGGAAGGAAGAGAAGTTCATTTTTCCAAACTTCTCTCCCACACTAAAATCAGGTGGACTAATCTCGGTAATGCTCCCAGCACCGTTGCATGTTATACCAGGCCAGCTACAATGGTCTGCAACGTTGTTGATGGAGGCATTCCACCACTCACTCTTCCACAGAGCTTGTGCCTCTGGTGTCGCCCCGGCCACAAATGTGCTGACAGTGCCAACACAAATTGTAGAGTAGAAAAATAAGGAAGCCCATGTTAATAACTCCATGGAAATGCGAATGTAAAATGCCATGTTAAGTTTGATTTTTCAAGTTGAGGTGTTCTGCTGGGTTTAGGAGCAAGGGTAGATATTTAAGGTGCTCGGTCCCATCAGGTTCAGATGACTGAGCTGACTTTTTTTTTTTTTTGGGCCTTCTGTGTTAAGAGGATGCAGCCACGAAGTTTCCGAGTAAACTTAAACTACGAAGACTTGAATATGTGACGGTGATTTTTTGATTGACAAATAGTTGTAGGTTGTTTGGCAACAGTTTTTTTCTTTTTTTTAATCTTATTTTGGCAGTGGATTTTTTTAGGGTTGCTTACTAGCTTATATAATTATAAGTAAAATTTTAAAAACTTTATCTTTTAAATTTTAAATATTTTGAAGGGAAAACTTTCATTTAAAAAAAAAAAAAATGGTAAATGCTTACAAGCAAGTTTTATAGAGAGACGTACGTTCACAGCGGACAGCACAGCATCTTTCTTTTGCTGATAAAAAATAATCGGTCGTCTCCCACCATCCATGCGCGTTGAACAGTCAAGGTCGGTCGTCTCCCCCTGGTCACTATCCATGCGTTGCACACAATTACTAATCTTTTCCAAGGGTACCATTTAGTGGAATCGGAAAAGTAATGTCAGATGAAATTTTCTTTCTTTTGATTGCAGTTTAACTTTCTTTGGAAGGATCAATGAAAGAAGATGGCACAAAGCGAGGTCTTTAATTCTTTGTTATTGTAATGACAATTTTTTTCTTAATAAGTAACCATGAAGTTGCCTATTGGTGGCCATTTATGTATCGCATTGGTCTTCGCATACAATCGCTTATGACTCGTGACTTGCTTTAAGCCACCGTTTGAATCGGTGAATTTGGAGAGGAAAGGGAGGAGAGCAAGGCATAGATATTTTTCTTGGTGTTTCATTTTTTTTATTAATGGAGATGGAAGGAGACGGGAGGAATGGTAGAATCCCTTTCACTTTTCTGTTTTTTATCTTTCAAATTAGACAGATTCAAATAAATTTGAATTTACATATTTAATATTTTTTTAATTTTTTAAAATATAAATATATAAACATATTTTATTTCAATTATTTTTTAA